ATTCTTTTGGTTCATTCAATATTGTTATTAAGTTTTTGTGAATTGGGATGGTTGATGCTCCATCAACCACTTCTCCTTTCTCATCCTGCAATTCAGTAAATAATCAATGTATATCAAAAGCATGTACCTGGATAGCAATATTTCAAGCTTGCAAAACAAAGATTAATGGAAGGGGATTATATAGGAAGACTGATTCATGCATGATTTGGGTTTTTAACTCCAGCCAATAGTGATTACCATCTTACTTCAGGTTCTTTTAGGTGGTAATCTGTTGTAGGGGAATCAAAGGGTGTTGAACTTCATTCTATTACAGTTTTATACGCGCTATTTATCTTGCATTTCTAGTTGTAATACATTGTAAAGCTTATCTTTAATGCTCTGGTTCTTTTCACAAATCAATGTTTTAAATTAGCTTTCTTTCTTGCTTCCTGACTCCCCTTGTTTAAGAACTTTTTCATAAGCAATCACAATCAGAAGAAAGGTTGGCAGCGTCTCCAAACATATTGATGTAAGTCATATGGCGGTGGCTAGCCTTGGCAAACAATTTGCATTTTCCTTGGCTATAAAACATTTCATTAACTAAACTGGTTTTTTTTTTTCAATCAAGCTAAAATCTACACTAGCTTAGGATAAAGCAAGTCTATGCCAATATCAAGATACATAATTCAGTTCAAATTTTCCTACTAATTCATATTTCAAAATTTTTTTTTCTGCTTCCTGATATTGGTAGAGTAGAATAATTGTTTTGTTACCACACCTGTTGCTCCATCCTCCCCAATGTGAATGTCTTAGTTTGATTGGCCATGAGGTTTAAGAAATTGTTGAAGATATATAAGAGTTTAAAGAGAAAATGAGGAATATGTGCAGTCCACTGGATTAGTTAACTGATGTTTAGAGCATTGTATGGAACATGTTGGTTGTACTACCTTCCTTCCTTTAGAAAGTATTTGTTTAAGGAAAGTGGACATTATTCTTGGACGGAATGAAAGGCAAGAAAAACATTTAAAAGTGAGACAAAGAAATACTAATGGAGTTGTACTTACTGAGATAACATACTAGATGGTCACCTATCTGCTTGTATTTTGAAAGTTCAGGGGATGGCTTGTTATCTTTAAGCAACTTGTTCCCACAGCGTTAGCATACCCGCTGCTTCACAGCTGTTTTCTTGAAAGAGCAGGCTGCTTATGGATGCTATCTCTCTGACACCTTCACTTTGTCTTTAATTTTTTGCCTTGTGTTCTTCAGTTTCTTTTGTTTCGACATACCTCTTGCCAACAATGCTTTGAAGTTTGCTTTGCACAGTACATTATATAAGAAGTCTATCTATTGCATGTATGTTTTTCATATATCATTGTCATTCTCGTGCTTGATTGCCTGAAATTAGGATTGTGTGTCCTATTAAATTTTTTGGATAATTCACAATGACCTTCAGACTGTTGCCTCTGTCTTAATACTTATGTGCATATTTGTTGGTGCTTAGGAAAAGCTTTTCAGCCCTGAGACTTCTTGGATGTTTGTGTCTCTTTTAGCGGTATCTTTGAAGAGTTGTGAATAAGTTTGTCTCATTTACAAATGATGCAAAATTGATGTACTTTTCACTGGGAGGAAATATAGATGTTTTCATTAGATTAAGCTGTAATTCTCAAGCTAGAAAAAACTTACCTAGAAGCCCAAGTCAAGAGGTTGTGCAGTATTTGCTTGATAAGCATTCATATTTCAACTTTCTAATTGGTGTGGTGCAGCCAACAAGCTACTCGTAATCATTACTACGAGAATATTATATGTTTGCAAGGCCTTGTTACATGGCTATTTTCCTTCTGTTTTGTCCTGGCCATAATTTTTATATCATCCCTGTATATCAAGTCATTTAATCAGCTAGTATTGATATGACTATTTCATCTGTTGAAATTAATTTTGGAGTTTGTTTTCATTTTGCAATAGAGCACCTATATTAAGCAGGAAGTTTTTTTTTTTTTTTAAAAGAAAAGGTCCACTCTGAGATTCCATTTTATGTATTCTGTTGTCTGACGGACAAGATTAGACCATGTTATTAAGTTTTCTCTGAGAATGGACGGTTACAAAAATGGATTAGCTGATATGCTAAGAAGTAGAAGTGAAGTCTTAATACATAAAAGCAGTATTGGTAGCATATCAGGTATTTATAGGTTAAGGTAAACGTGGTAGTTTTGTATTTCTTAATTTCATGTCATGTGTTGCCAATGTACCATTCGTCAGTTACTTCAATATTTCTTCCAATGATATTAATTTTTATCCCATCTGCTCCTCTGCTGCCCAGCTTGAAAGAAAAACTAATTACATGATGATATCCTAGCTACCCTAAGACGACATTCTTATGTTTTCAGGATTCACTTATCTTTCAGTGGCCTTCATTGTCTTGAAAATGCATTTTTTTGGGTCATCGCTTATTTATTGAACAATTTGATGCAGTGCAAATGCCACACATGATTTTCACTGGTCTTGAAGATTACAAAGCAAGAGGAACTCAGGCTGCTCCCTACTTCACTGTCTCTCATTACACTGAATTTGCAGAAAGCAAGGAATTGGTGCTTATTAGGGGTGATGTTGTGTTTACAAGCAAGCTCAGTGACTCAGAGGCCAAATGGCTCATGGAGACTGCACAATCATTTTACTTGAATGATGTCAGGTACAAGTTAGTTGAGCGTTTCAACAAAGAAACACGTGATTTTGAGTTCAAGGATGTTTTGCAAGCATTGGAGATGCCAATTTTGTAAGAGAAGTGAAGATGGAAACTTGAGCAAAAGAGCATGAGACCTGCAGCCGGATGACAAGCAACAGAATGTGAACACAAGTTTTGTATAATGTCATTATTAACTGCAGCTACAATGAGTTTTTTTTTTTTTTTTTTTTTTTGGTTAACTGAAATCCTTCTTAGACTTGGAGATTTTATCTTGGAGTCCTACTTGTTTACTAAAAATACGGGAATGAAAATTACAGGACAACTTATGGGAGAGATGTGTCATCGTGTCCTAACCTCCTTGCGAAATAACTACCTGCTCGTATGTGCCTCGCACCTCGGATGCTGTCCTTGGAGTGAGTTTGGTGAGTGTGTTATTGTAGCAGTTATGCACGTTGCTAGGTTACTTAATACTGAGGCGATTCATGGGCAAACTGCATTTACTTGCACTATAGAGGAAAATTAGATTTTATCCAAATACATGACACTCTTACTAGTAGGATTTGAATTTGAAAAATTCAACTCAAATTCTGTCCAAATATATTGGATTGGGTATGAATAATAAAAAAATAAATTTTATTCAATCCCATGACTTTTTTACTAGTAGGATCTGCATTTGAAAAATTCAACTCAAATTCTATCCAAATATATTGGGTTTGGGTTAGATCTGAATAAAACCTCACTCGGAAGACGAAGCCAGCAGTCTTTCTTATCATGATTACATTACCAGTCCAATGGCAAAAAGGGTATCCAATGGCAAGATGGTCAAACGGCACCCCAAACAAAAATACCAGCCATATAATCTTGAATCTCCACCGTTCAATCGCTCTGCACATGGCTGGAGAATTACGAAAATACTCACACACTGAAGATGCCAACGAGTGACCACGGAACACTGTTCATAACTCTATCCGCCCTTTTATTCTGCTGGGATTTACTTGATCTTGCCGAATGGATGGTAGATTATAGATTTATTTTCTTCCATTCCAACAATTCGAATCAGGGTTTTTCTTTTCTAATTTTTCAGGCCTCAATTCGACATATTATTTTTTTCATTCATTCCCTTTCAGGATCAATCATAGTCTTTCAAATTTTATTGACTTTATAGCTGAATTCCCGTTTTATCTAAATGTATAAAAGATGCTAGCCGCACGCTTATCTTACTACATCTAAAGCGAGAGTGTCATTTAATGTATTCCCTAATCTAATCTTGGCTCTGTTTGGATCCCCTGTTTTTTAAATGTTTTTCAAATACAATAAAAATTTTTAAAAAGTACTCTAAAAACTAATTTAAAAATTAGTTTAATTTTTTTAAAAAAATTTTAAAAATATTTTTCTAAAAATATTCCAAAATATACTCAAAAAATAAATTCTGCTGCAGCAAAATTTTTCAAAAACACCCCCCAAAACAGCTAATTATTTTTAAAGATAATTATATCATTTCAACTACCTATCTCACTGTAGGCTACATCTATCCTATATTTGTTGAATTAACCTGGGTTTTAGCATTTAAATATTCCAAAATACTACTATTCTCATATGAATTATGAAATAATTATTCACGCTTCAATCTTGTACATATATAGTTCCAGACAATAAAAAGTAATCTGTGGAATTCAAGGACTAATCGAAGAAATGCACCCTCAAAGGTCAAAACCAAGAAATTAGTAGTAATATTTTTCAGAAAAAGAAAATCCTTTTGGTAATTTGCCAAGGTAAAATTTAAGAGTCGTAGATGTGGCAAAATTTGGTCTCTACGGTCTAGGAGACCAAACCTGCCTCAAGCTTTTACAGTTTGCAAATTCACTTCTTTCTCTGCTTTCCTCTTTCTTCCAGGGGACCGCCACTATATAATGCTCAAGTCTTCTGGAAGGTAATACTATACCGTCTCAATCTTCGCTTTCCACACTGTTCTATCCAACCAAATCAACCTCCGTTCAAATCGATACAAAATCTGTATTTTGATTCGACAAATTTAGCCAATTCCTTAAACCTTAACCTTCATCTTTTCACACAGTCACGTAGTTAAATTAAGCAGTAATTTAGAAGCTCTGAAGTAAGATGACCGAGAATTCCGACGAGGCCAAGGACATAGATGAGCTCTACGAGTACGGGGCACGCCTCAATGAAGCCAAGGATAAGACTCAGGTGCCCCCAACTTCTCTCCGATTTTTGAATTTTGGGGTTTTAATAATTTGCTGCAAGATTGAATTTTGACTGCGAATTTTGGTGATTGATATGAATGTGGTGTTTGTTAGCATGTGGAGGATTACGAGAATATAATAAAGGCGGCAACCAGTACCAGCATTAAAGCTAGGCAATTAGCTGCTCAACTGATCCCCAGGTTCTTCAAGTTTTTCCCAAGTCTTTCGGTCAGTGCTGTAGATGCCCATCTTGATTTATGTGAAGCTGAAGAACTCGGGGTCAGCGTTTTCTTAATCTTAATCTCATCTTTTTTTTTTCGAAATTTTCTTATTGATGATGATATTATACAATTTAAGTATATCTGATAGTGTTCAGTTGTAGATATTGTTCTTGTTGAACTCTTAGGCAGAATCGAGCAGAATGAAGGAGGAATTTTCTTAGTTAATTGCAACAATTATTTTCAGCAAGTACATGCTTAAAGTTGATATATATTTGAATGAAGCAATTTTTCAACTGTTTTTTTCTGCAAGTTCATAAGTAATGGTGGGAAAGATCACAATTTGGAACAGAGGAAGTGGAAAAGATTTAATTTTTTAAAATAGAATTTTAAAATGTGGTCAGCTGCATGATTCTGTTTTTGTTGAAGGCTTAGACTTGGTGCCTTGCTCAATTTAGCAGATATTCATTAGTTTTAAACTTTTTTTTTAATAGCCTGATACTACTAAACATCAAGTGTAATGGAACTCAAGCAGCAGCAAGAGAAACAGTATTGAAATGCCTGATCTGTGGATTCCTTATGGTGTAGGACTATTTGGCAAAAAGATCAGGGAAACTATATTGCCTTCTTCATAATTGACTTAGGTGGTCTATTTTCTGCATGATATAGCAGCAACTGGCTGGGGTAGGTGGTGGTTGAGCTTCAGCTTGTGTGTTTGGAAGATGGAGACTTTTATGATCTTGTTGAGGCAGAAGATAGATTTTATCAGTGCCGTCGTGTGCATTATCATGGAAGCTTTTGCAGTACTTTCTTTAAAGGAGTCTGTTCTTGTTCTCGTATAAAAAGTTCCAAATAGTTGGGAACCTGATCTATGTGTAAGATGGATACAGAATGAAATGTGGTGAACATCCAAAAAAATTCTTCTCATTCCTCAGGCTTATTACACCCTTGATTCCCTCCTGAGGATGCCGTTTTCAGATCCTTTAGCTGGCAGCATTTCACTCATGCGTGTACCTGCAAGTGAACAGTCTGATATTGATATGATTGTTGACACCCAAATTTTGTTGGTGTACCTTGCTTTTTAATGGTACACATCCACCATTCACTTGAGAAATTAGGGAAGTGGAGGTTGTTTGTGAATAAAGAGAAAGCCATGTGGAGAAAGAGGATTTGGTTTTCAATTAATGGGTTTTGAGAGAGGAGGATCAACATCTAAAGAAATCAACATTATTTGTCAGTTAATAGATTGGAAACCTTCAGGAATGGATGGGAGGAGTTTAAACAACATATGCCAAAATGAATAAGCACGCCTCTCCATATTTTACCCACCAAAATGCTGCATGGCTAAGATCTTTGGGTAATTGGCATCCTGCAGCCTATTTCTAAAAGTAATTTGCTGTATCAGGAAGATATACATTTTTTGCAAGCATACATGCTGAGTCTGTTGAGTTGCAATTACTTGTTAGTGCTGAAGATAGAAATTGGCTTGGGTTGCATGTAGGAAGTTATCAGTGAAGATACTATAACAGAATGAACTGTTTTTCTGTGGAAACATAAATTGGTGTCTGATGCTGCTATCTTTTAGGCTTGCTTTTTTCAGTCACGTAACAGATCATGAATGAATTCTCCTAAAAGGCTACATGTCAGTGGCTCTGGTAATGAGAATGAAGGGACAATTAATCAATTGCAACATTTTGAGAGAATAGGGCTCATGATCCACATTGTAGGCGACTGATATGATGTTCTGAGAAGCTTCGAGCTAGATCAAAGATTTCTTTTAGAGTTGGAACATCTGCATGAGGTAGATTAGCGGGATTTGCATTAATGTCCTTTTGCATTAATTTTGGTAGCATAGAGAAGGAGAGGAACAACAAAATGTATTGAAGGAGTTCAGAAGGCACAACAACAAGAATGTGACTCTGGAGAGTGGAGAAAACCTTTTATAATGCTCAATGTTCATTATCCTATTCAACATATGCTTAGGAGTTAAATTTTTGGGTGATCTGCCATTGTATTGCTAGAATAGCAGGTGATTTTTATTTCTTTCAATTTTTTTGTAAATGGGCTGCAAACCTTGCTGCAACCCGTTTTCTTTCCTTATTTTGTTTCATGAATCATGAGAAAGGTTTAATTGACTATCCATGAGCACTTGTCCATAAATTTGTTAGTTTTCAATATCAGATTCTATTAAACATTCGTGTGGTATCTGATGTGTTTGAAAAGTGTCGGATACGTGAAGTAATTTTGACTTGCTGTTATGGATACGGTTAAGAAGTCTGGGCAGCTTCTACTTACTCTCTCTCTCTCTCTCTCTCTCTCTCGCTCTCTCTCATACATGCACAGAGATTATATGAGCACACACTCATTTAGTTTGAAAGTTCGCATACAGGTAATTTTCCTTTTGCTTTGAAAATATTGTCGGGTTTGTTCTTTGATATGATTTGATGGCCTCTATAGTGGTTCTTATTTGCTTGCATATGATGAAATTTGCATAAGTGAATCTAAACTTTCTTCTGTAATCTCATAGTGCTTGTATGAACTGTGATGACACTCTTTTGTATTTGTTCCTAAATATTGTGCTTTTGATTTCCAATCAAATCTTGCAGGTTTGCGTGCAAGCAATTCGTGGACTTCCTCTTTTCTGCAAAGATACACCTGAACATCTTTCTAAGATTGTTGATATTCTTGCCCAGCTCCTAACTGCTGGTAAATTTGTTTTTTGTTCTTGCCCAGCTCCTCACTGCTGGTAAACTAGTTTTTGTATTTGAACTTCCAGTTGTCTTTAATGTTGTTCATGTCTGATCTAAAAACATGGTTGATGCTTGTAGAGGAGAATGTTGAGCGCGATGCAGTACATAAGGCTCTTTTATCCTTATTGAGGCAGGATGTTAAAGGTACTATTGTACGATGCAACACAATACTGATTGTATTGTGCTTTTGATTTCCAATCAAATCTTGCAGGTTTGCGTGCAAGCAATTCGTGGACTTCCTCTTTTCTGCAAAGATACACCTGAACATCTTTCTAAGATTGTTGATATTCTTGCCCAGCTCCTAACTGCTGGTAAATTTGTTTTTTGTTCTTGCCCAGCTCCTCACTGCTGGTAAACTAGTTTTTGTATTTGAACTTCCAGTTGTCTTTAATGTTGTTCATGTCTGATCTAAAAACATGGTTGATGCTTGTAGAGGAGAATGTTGAGCGCGATGCAGTACATAAGGCTCTTTTATCCTTATTGAGGCAGGATGTTAAAGGTACTATTGTACGATGCAACACAATACTGATTGTTTTTCTGTCTCTACTTTTTACTGGACAGTCAATACAGAATAGAATGATATAGGTCTCAAACTTTCTATTCTATTTGATTTGAGAATGCTACATCTTTCTTTGATATGTTTCAAAGCCTAATTGGTATCCAAAGATGGACCACAGGTTAGATACGGTTTCAGGATATCAGCTATTGGTGTAGCTCTTGATCGGTCTATGGTTACTGAAAATGATAATCACATTTAAATCCTTTTTTAGTTTTATTCGGTCCGAAAAAATACTAATCAGGAATAGAACTGCCTCCAGGATTTGGTTTGGTGACATACACTGAAACTACCTTCTTGAATTTGGAGCCTCATATTTATGTTTTCATAGTGTAGATGTTAGAATGATGCCACTGGACTAGCTTTAGAGGGTGTAACATTGTGCTTATACCTTGATGCTTTAGTTTCTATTTGTTTTCAGGATTCCTACTTTTGCTGTATATGAGTGATTGTATCCTTATTTTCTTGTGCTATGTAGAGAACAATCATGTGAAGTACAAGCTCATGAGTGATCACTTGATAGAGTTTATTTCTTTAAACAAGTACACTTTGGTCAACTTCTGACTACCATATATATATATATATATATATATATATATATATTATGTGAGAAAAACATACTCCAATGCTCAGACTTTAGTCGTTTGTCATGCTTCTTTGACTGTTGTGCCTGTAGATTCCACTTTTCATTGCAGTGGTCGAACTCAAGTCATGTAAGCTCCAAATTTTGTTGGTTGAAATACATGACTCTGTAATTCTATGTCGATTAGGTTTAGCTTGGTATTAGCATTCTTTACATTATATTATCGCAGATTGGTGTTAAATCTTACAACTTAGGATGAATGTCAGTAGGTTATGGTCCACTTTTGTTCAGTTGTCCATGGTTGTTCATTGTAATTTACGATTTTTCTTTTGTTTTTTGTGGGGTGAATATAAAAAGTTCTTGTTGCACTGTGAACATTGCCACTTAAACTGGCTTGATCAGCAGGCAAACGTGTATCAATGATTGGTTTCCTTGATCAGAAGGCACATGTATATGAATGACTGGTTAGCTGATACATACATATAACATATGGCTTTGACTTAATATATATGTTTCACTAGAAACTTCAATTCATACCTACTAGAACTTTGGAGTATGGCTCATGGCTATTAGAGTCTTAGGCTACACATTACAAGATGCGGTGATTGTTCCATTAGTTTGGGAGCTTTTCTCATATCATTTCACATTCAATGATAAAAAAACTCAAGCAAGGGTAATTGCTATGACCAATTCACATCAGAGTGATACCACTATGTTCGATGGTTTTGTAACATTGCTTGTTTATGTATCTTTTTATGAATATATTTTAAATGCTGTTTTAGTTTTTTTTTTTTTGGGAGAGAGGGGGGGTGGGGATTCCATATTATACTAGCACCTTGTTTGGGTCTTCGGTGATCCAGAGGTATTGTCTTAGAATTATAGAGATCATGCCGTATGTACAATCTTTAATCCATTGGTAAAAAGGAATCCCATTGCAATACTCTGTTTCCGTCTAATAATTTGATATGTGGTCTTCTATCTTCTATATTTCCTTCTAATCTTAGCCTTTTTGGGGTGGGTGAATTGTTGTGTTTGGTTGAATCACTGCAATGGTTAACCACCACTCAAGATTTATCAAGTCGGTAAACTGAACTTTCTTTTGCAGCTTCTTTGACAGCCTTATTTAAGCACATTGAGAGTGTTGATGAGCAGATGACTGATGAGAATCTTCGAGAGAGAACCTTAAGTTTTATCAGAGACAAGGTTGGGTGAAAATTACATGGCTCAGTATATGAACTTTGCTGCTCTTTTTGGTTTTATATTTAATCAACATACTTTATTTTAGGTATTCCCTCTTAAAACTGAGTTGCTGAAGCCACCAGAGCTAATGGAAAGACACATGACTGATTTGATTAAAAAGGTACGTCTCTCTGTGTGTATTAATCCAATTGCTCCTCTGTTGAACCATAGAACTTTCAGTTTGCAAATTCCTGCCAAGCATGCAGCATTGATTATTAACTGCAATTCTTCTTTTAGACAAATTTTCTGTTTTATACCTATGGAAATTGCTGATATGTCTTCGTGTTGATGATTGTAATGTTTTCAATATTAACAAAGGAATTTGCTAGGTGAGGACGAATAAGGGTGCTTATTGCAGAGCTGGTAGTCTGAATTGTTTGATATGATGATTTAAAAAAGGAAATAAAGGGTAAGAAACTGATTAGTTCTTTTTGCAGAGTCTACAAGATGTGACGGGAGCAGAATTTAAGATGTTTATGGATTTCTTAAAAAGTTTAAGCATATTTGGAGAAAAAGCTCCTCCTGAGCGTGTTCAAGAGCTCATTGAGATCATTGAAGGCCAAGCTGATCTTGATGCTCAGTTCGATGTAAGCAATTGCTCATTACCTGATGACATGGTTGACTCTTGCTGCAACCCCCCCCCTCCCCCCTTCAAAACCCATCTGAAAATAAATGAAAAGTTCCCTCAAAACAAGCATTCCAAATAAATATATGTCATTTATGGGCAAGTGTTATTATAATTTTTTTTGTTATTAATAATTTTTTGGGCTGACCATTATTAAGATCCTTAAGAGTGTGAAGAGCACATCAACTTACCATATTCATATTTACAAAACTTGAGACATGATTTTGTTGCCATATGTACATGGATGTCATTCACTGGAAGCAGATAATCTTCTTGTAGACTTCTTTGATCCTTTTTCAACCGCATGGTTAAGGTTAACCTTTTTGTCAGATTGATGAAGAGAAGATACCATATACAATGCTTTCGAAGTGCAGGGGATCTTCATCGCTATGTTTGTCTGGTAGTTGAACTTAAAGATACTACCATAGCAATCTAGTGACTTAACAGAGTCCTGTCTACTATTTTGCTACTTGTATGCGATATCCAAATGCAAGAAGAAAAGGCTAACTCTTACAAGATGGCTTCTGCCAAACTACTGCATTGCTGAAATGTTGTCATGTTATCTGTAGTTTATTGGGTGGGTTTTACATTTCACATGTTCTTTTCATCCTACGTTAAATTTTCCTTTTCCCTGTGGACATTTTTGTCATGATGCCATCTGAATCTCACTATTTTTCTCATATAATTAAGCTAGTTTTGTAACCAAGGTTCTGACATTTTCAAGTGAAACTCTTGGCCATGCATAGAAGCAATAATTCTTTCTTGTTCCCTTCCCATCTTATGCACCTATGCTTGGTTTTGTAGTATAATCTATCTACAGCAATTCTTGAAATGATGGCTTCTAAAATGCAGGTTTCAGATGGGGATCACATTGCTAGGTTAATAGCATGCTTGTTTATGGCTATCCCATTTTTTGAGGTTTGTGCTATTGTTTACCTTGATGGCCCTCTTGAGTCAATTATAGACTGGTCTGTTGAGCTGAAATACTGTTTCCCATGCAGAGGGGTGCATCCAATGGCAAGTTTCTTAATTACTTGAACAAGCACATTTTTCCTGTTTTTGACAAGGTAATTTTGCATTTCCTAATGTAGCAGGATTTAGCTGTTTCATTAACAATGTCTGGCTGTTCATCTGATATTTAAATGCTCTAAGAGGAAATCCCACTACTTTTTTATGTGCCTATAGTGGTTTGTCCTTGCATAATCTGCTGCTGATCCCCATCTTTGCAGTTATTATTTGAGAAATCATTAGGATATGCTGTTGCGGAATGAGATTGCACTTTCTTGTTGCCTGGTTTTCTTTTTGGCTGGTTGGATTATTGAAGTGTATTGCTTGAAGTGAGAAAGAATGAAGTCGAAGTATTTAAAAAACTGTCTTAAGGGGTTTCAATGTTTGTCTGACTTCCAACTCTGTAGCTAGAGTAGAGCAGTTGCGCATAGTTGAGATGGTTAGAGGTGAATGCAGTTTGAACTGAAGACATTCTCTGAGATGCCCTTCAAATAATAGGTCTACTTAGTGGTTTGAATTTGGTCTGGCCTCATGAAATCTGAGCATTCGAGGCACTTGTTTCCAATCAAATTGGCTATTCATTTGTTAAGAGCCTCAGCTTCCATCCTTACATGAGCCTTGATTACTTTACCCAGACCCCTCCAGCATACAGTATTGGTAGCCTTTATCTTCTCTAGTGAATTATTCTGATAACTATATTTAGTGGATTCAGTTAGCTCATGTCATAAACTGATATACAGAAATTCTTGCTGTCATTGAGCGCTGAATAACTTAAGTAGAGGCAGTCTGCTTATTATTCACTTGTCATGACATAATTGCCATTCTTTAAGGACTATACATATGCATCAACCTTTCGATGAAGAGTGGTGACCATGCTGATGAAACAGATTTGTAGTTGTTTGGCATGTTCTGGTTGGTAACTGGGGGAAGTCATGAGCTAAATATATGTTGTTGTTTTGCATGATTGTCTAAGATGGAATAAGAGCACTTTGATGGGCAAATTTATCACCTTATCGCTACGGATATACTTCATGGATTCATTCCCATATAGAAATTCATCAAACATTTCTGCTGTTTACCAATCTGTTTAAACTTACCTAATGGCTATTTGTTTTTTTCACGTCCAAGTATAGATTCCACTCTATTGTTTGAAATCTTCTCTTAAGTTCTTTCTTGGCAGCTTCCTGAAGAATGGAAAGTTGACCTGCTCAAGGATCTTGCTGAGAGTTCACCTTACACCACACCTCAGGATTCAAGACAAATCCTTCCCTCTGTTGTTCAGCTTTTGAAGGCAAGTATATAGTTTACGACTTATGGAAGACTAATTTGTTACAGCTTGTAAAGCACCTAGAACATAATATATGAGACCCAAGCATGGTTGGAAAGAAAACATTTTTTCTTCTCTCCCCAAATGTCTCCCTCTCTGTCTAGCTATATGCATCTATTATAAAGATTTTTATCTTTATACATTCATTGTGGCCACAGTCTTGTTCATTCTGAGTCTTGATTTATTCTCCTCTAATACTAGTATGAGAGGCCTTCAATTTACAGTATGAAGAATGAGTCTATTCCCTTATAACTATGTATAAAAATACTGCTTATTTGATTGATTGGATATTATTTCTTTTTTTCAGAAATACATGCCTATAAGAAAAACAGGAGAAGAGATGAACTTCACTTATGTCGAGTGCTTATTGTATACATTCCACCATTTAGCTTACAAGGTCACAAAGTCTCTCTTTCCTTCAATTTCTACTACATTTTCTCCATTTACACTGCTCATTTTTTTCTTCTTTTCCTTTAAATAGGCACCCAATGCCACCAACAGCTTGTGTGGTTACAAGATTGTGACTGGCCAACCTTCTGATAGGCTTGGGGAGGACTTCTCAGAGTATCATAAAGAATTCATAGAACGGTAGTTTGTTGATTGTAGCAGTACAATATTTTGATCCTTACCTCCCTCCCTCCCTCCCTCTCTCTCTCTCTCTCTCTCTCTCTCTCTTCCCTGTGAATATAATGCATAAACTGGGCAATTGCCTATCATGTATAGTTTTGTGACTTCCTACACGAGGCATGCAATTCAGAATGAAGAGGAAAGATAATTACTAGTCTACTGCATTCAGTAATTGTACAGAATTGGGACAAAATTGCTCAGAAAAGATCAATATCATGTGACAGAGAGCATCAGGAAATCTTCTTTCTGTAGTTAGAAATGTCTTGTAGTCTACGAGTGAAGAGGGACTGTGAGTATAGAGCCATTTATTCTTCAATTTAATTTAATACTAAACTCTAAAATGCAATTTATTTTAGTGCATATATTTGATAACTGTTGCTTTGTGACATCCTTTGACAGTTGAAGCTGAAAATATTCAGTAATTCTTTTCCTCTTCTGCAGAGCTTATATGTGTTTGTCTGTGTGGGTTTGGGCATGTGGTATGAGAGAGAGGGAAAGAGGGGAAGGAGGTTTGAAAGTTGATGTTCATTTGTTTCCATTACAGCTTAAATTGTGTGGAAGAGCTAGCTAGGGCTACCATGAAGAAATTAACTCAAGGAATGGCTGAGCACAACAAAGCATTGACGGCTGCTACTTCTGAGGAAGCAAAGGCCAGCATAGTGAGTTGACCAAGCCAGAGTTAAGAGTTATTTTCTGGATTATTTATGTCTTAGTGTGTCCTAATTGATTTTTCTTTTTCCCTTTGACCAAATTTCAGAAGACACAGAAGCAGAATACCACAACTGGGTTGCGTACTTGTAACAACATATTGGCTATGACACAGGTGAATGGGGATAAAATTCCTGTAGACTCCTGATATAGAAATACTTTAACTAATGCTCTTGACAATTTCTTGATTATGCAGCCACTGCATTCAAAATCACCATCATTTATTGGTGACAAGAGAATTGACTTATCTTGGAAAGAAACTAAGAAACTTTCTCCTTCATCAAACACTCCTGCAGCCAGGTATGTTTGGAACTGCAAAGCTTGTCAAGATTGTCTAGCTCAACTACATTTTTGGTTTAGAGTTTTTGATGTTTTCTGATCATAAAAATGTGGACTGTGAGTTATGCGGTGATCATTCTTGAAGTCCTGGTAATGAGTAGTGTGTTATACTTGGGAGAGAATCCTGGGTACTTGAGAAAAGGGTGGAACATTGGCAAAGAAGGTGGAAGCAAATGCACAATAGAGATTCTTTTACATTCATAGTAAATAGTTGAAGATTTCTGTTTCTCCTTTCTAAGGTACAGGCATTACTTATAGAAAGAAAGACCTTTGAAGCTTAGTACAATGTAAATATGAATTGAACTGCAGCCTACCTAAGCAATTGAAAGTGGAACTTAATTAGTGTTCCGGTCAATTCGAGTAATCAAATCACCTGTGCTTGGTTTCTCACCTTCGTATTCGTTTTCCTTCTGTTTGCAGAGGTAAACGCCCTGCTGGTACAACGAATGGCTCTAGCAACAATGCCGTGAAAAAGGGACGTGGTGATGGTGGAATTCAGAACCAGTATGCTAATAGGCCATTTGAAGGTTCAGCATATGGGGGTAGAAGTGGATTAAGAGGCAGGGGCAGGGGCAGAGGCAGGGGCAGGGGCAGGGGCAGGGGTCGAGGTGGAGGTGGACGAGGTAGGGGACGGGGCTATTACTAGCTACAGTTCTTTCCTTGTGACATATTTCTTGCACTTTCTAATGGTTATACACTAGTTGACAGAAAATAATTAGTTAGTGTGTTTGGATTGAGATGATTTGAGATAAAATGATTTGCTTCACAAATTTTAATCACTTTTTTATCTCACATATATCATATTACAAAAAGTGTTACAGTAATTATCTTAAATAAATCACTCAAATAAACTCCCATCACAAAAAGTGTTTGCTTACGAATTTTTTCCTTTACTGCCTCTGTGTGTGTCTGTGCGCACGCGAGGATGATAATCCTGTGAAACGTATAAACATTCGGCTTCTAGAACAATTCTGGAGGAGGAAACGTTGGAGTTGTACTTTGGGAGATCTAAATGGCAATTAGGGTCGACTGTGTCACAAGGATTACTTTGAACTTCCATTCTAGTTGACAAAAAGAAATCCTCGACACTTTACGCAATACGCATGCAAGCGAAGCGCCATTGCATTAATTTACGATAGAGTCTTAAAGGGCTGTTTGGTTCATAAATGTCACTTGTAGCTGAACTTGGAAGATGAAGGACTGGATCATGTTTGATTAATTTGGACTAATCTTCCGTGAAATTTTTTTTCCAATGGTTGTTTTTTGGGGTGTTTCGAGTAAATTATACTGTGGCTTATTTTTAATAAGCGCCGTGTTTCTGGGATTAAAAAAAAAAGAATGTTTTGGTTGAAAATGCTTTAGAGAAGCAGTTTATTTTCCTTCAAAGAGAGCTCCCTAGAAGCGGAGCCTACAACATTACAAGGCATGGATGAAGAACATGTTCTCTAGCTTCTGTAATGCATCTACGGAGCCTATATCAAGAAGTCAGCGAGCTTGCCTTCAACCCATTCTTTCTTCTCAAACACTAAGAAATTAAAAAAAAAAAACAAACAAACAAAAGTTCCCTCTATTCTGTCAACAATCCACATGAGTAATGTCTATTTCTACATGTTAGGCATTATCAAAATGCTGTTGATATGGTTGAGGAAAATTGAAAGTCAGAGCTCCTACGACATCTCCCTGTACCCCTGAACGAATATGCATGCACACCACAGCAAGCGTTTCAACTCCCCTTATGGAGCAGCCTCAAAATGCTCTGAAGGGTCTGTAGGACTTACTAAACCCCACCGTGCGGAACTCCATCTTTGAGCGAATGTCCCAGCTCTCCCCATTGATCTGCGACGCAAGTACGGTTCTAGTTCTACTACCTTATCCACGATACCTTTTATTCCTTTACCACCCACAATAGCACCATTCTGATAGGCCTCCTGGCGTCTCCAACATTTTTTCGTAATAAAAAATACAAAACAAAAAGTGGAAGTGGAACCAGAAATAAGGTATAATACCCAGAAGCTCTCAAAGCGCAGACTCTCAGGGTTACCAGACCCATCGACACTCGAACAGTTCGTAGATGATTCTAACCATTCTTCTACGAGGCTCCTAAGCTTACCATTCTCCTGCAGAGTTAAAATGGCTTTGGAAAAATCACGGGCTATTGGAGATCCTTTCTGAAACACCTGCAGAAGAGCATGGAGAAATGATTTTAGACTGTGTTTTAAACCATTAACGGTTCTGACTAGAAGACAGGATTGTGAAGGACTACTTACAAAGCCCAGTCCTCCATTTCTGTAAGTAGGTCCAACAGCAGTGTACTCATTGCAGTACTCTCCCAGGAAAACCTTCTGATAAGGCAGTTCAAGAAATGCTGCTGTTATGTTGCCGCTCTCAAATTCTGCAGGATAAGCGTCTTCGCTGTCAAAGGTCTTGATGTTTCGAAGTTGAAGTACATTCTGCAAATAATCCCTTACGAAGGAATCACTGTCACATCCAACTGCTGCATTTGTTTTCCTTACCCATTCTACATCAGTCGTACGAGGCTCAAGTCTGGGGACTGTAAGGATTGAAGTGAGAGCTGCTTGGTAACTTGAGGTTACTACGAACACCAGAAATAGCCACATCATAACCACCGCTTTAGTAGAGTTACTTCTGACGTTTTCTTCTGTTGGACAAAAAAGATACAAATTCAGGAAAGCACTTCATGATGAGCTGTGGAATTTTGTATCCGCATGTAATAACAAGAAGGCTTGCTTACTGTGAGCGAAGAAAAGAGTGGAGAATGTGAACCAGATTGCAGTTACGAACTGGTCTTTCCAAGGGCCTTTGAACTGTTCATTAGTTTGGTGTTCTATGTACCATACCACGATCATTGTGTAGAACATTATTGAAAATGTTGCAATCCACATGTTCCGAGTGAAAGGTTTCACAAACATCCATGGCATCTGAGCTCCATTTTTCACTGGGACCAGCATGGACAAGCCTGACTCGGCATATGGCTGGGTAAAATCCACATCATTTGATCGATCGGCCAGTATTGTTACATCGCCAACAACAGCATCAAAGGACTTCAAAGAAACATGAAAGAAAAACAAAAGGCTCAGTTTTTGAGAAAGAGATTGCCAAAAAAAAAAAAAAAACTGACAAAATGAAGAGTAGGGTTAAAAATATCATTAGTCACATTCAATGGTGGTTTCATGTAGACCAGTAATTTGATGAACTTCAAGGAACAGTTTATACCCGATTGATGACATGGTCAACAAGCTGGTCATAGCTGCCGTTGTAGGGATAAAATTCATAAGGGAGGGCATATTCTTGCTCCAAAAGTTTAAGTATTTCTTCAAAAAGATCAATGCAGAAACCGTCATACTTCCACTCACCATTCTTGTCATTGTCGACCCAATCTACCTTTACAAATTTCTGGAAAACTGTTCGTCCTGGAACTCCAATCTTCATTGGATTTGCATTACTGGGCATTGCCCAACCTTTTGGGATTCTGTCTAATTCCCCCGGCCAATTTACTCTAGCAGTCATATTTTGCATGGTTTGAACACCATCAACTGCACTAAAATTTATCTTCCCATTTTCCAATTCAAGGCTATCTGCAAAGTTAAAACTTGATGACCAAAAGCCAAGTTCTTTGTAACTCTTGCCAACAACATTGACAATCCTAAACATTGGTGGGCTTGATAGTGACTCATTATGAAAATGTATATCACCAGTTAAGCCAGTGAAATTGTTTGATCGAATTATCGTTGGCAGTAGCATTGAAGTACTAGTATTACTTTTACTGCCTAATTCCATCACAACTTTCGAAATAGCTGTGATGCCATCATATGCTTGTAGAGCATAAATTCCAGGCTCCAAATTATGTTCACTTGGGAATTCCAATCGAAAAACTTTCTGAAACTGACGTCTAAAATCCAGAAAAGGAGTAGCCTCTTCCGAGTAGTACAATTTGGTTCCTAGAGCACCTTGAGCAGAGGAGATGAAGTTGGTGTCAACAGAATCTAGGAGATTAGAAAGCGTGTCTGCAATTATCCAAACTGAGTCTCTACCCATTAATCCTAGCTTCCTGGCTTCTCTAAACAAATGATTGGCTAGTGATAATGAAGATCGAAGAACAACAAACACCCTGGATTGTGTCATCAATAATTTTTCTACCTCTTCTCTGACTATTCCTTCTGGATCAGACACAGAAGACATTGGTGGAAGAACCAAATGAGCCTCAATTTCTGCATCAACAGGTTGAAGGGCCTCAGATAGTATTGCAAGCATTTCAGAATCACCACCATATGTGTTGTCCTCATAGACTGCTACAACCTTTCTCCAGTGGTAAGAACGGATGATAGAAGCAATACAACTTATCTGTTCGAAGCCATCGGAAACCGTTGGTACCAGGAAAGGCCATCTATGCTGTATGAACAGGTGTCTGTTAGGAGCTGGTGCTAATGAAAGAACTGGCACTTGAGCTTTTTTCCTAACATCAGCAACCAAAACAGCTTGCTCCCATGTCTGCATCCCAATTATAACTTGCACTTGTTTTTGTGTAATCAGCTCTTCAGCTGCAAAAGAGTTTCAAGGGCACAAAATATCTCAAATTAGACATGACAGAAGCATTTCTAACCAAAGTTGACATCGAAGAAAAATCGGACTTAGGAATATGAACTTTGCTTTTTCCCAATATTAGCAACTAAAGGAAGAAAACAAGCGGAAAAGAGGTGAACTCACCTGCAGACACTGCATGAATTGGATAGTTGCTGGTGTTACGAAAATGAATAGTGAGTTTGTGATTTGTTGATATACTATTGAAACTTTGAACTGCTACCAGCATGGCAGTTTTTTGCTCTTTACCAGCTCGGGAATCAACATCTATGATTGCACCAATATTGATGGTTTCTAGAGGAGTGCCAGCTCCTATAGCAGACTGAAGAAAGCATATGATGAGGAAGCATAGTTTCATTACAAGGAACAAGACATTAGAGCACTTAATATTTGTACTATTGATAAGTAGTTGGAAAGCCATTTTTTCATCCTTTCTTTGCACAGCAGTTGGAAATGAAATGTGTAGTTCAACCTACGAAGGATGAAAGATAGCTAATATAAGCAAAAGCTTGGAAACAGAATAAAATTGTATTTTGACTAAATATGCAGGTTTGAAAAGTCCATGGTCATATTCTTTTGCAACAAGTAGATTTGAACCAAGACCAGCAGCAGTGGGCTAAAATGACTTCTTCAATTTACATTTTATTAGAATTTTCATCAAAATCAATAGCACAATAAGACAAAAAATTAGCATATCCTCATATCAATATGTGGTGACCAATTCAGAAAAATTAGCATATCCTCATATCAATATATGGTGACCAATTCAGACCTATTCTTTTCCAGGAGATTTACACTAATCACAGGTTTCGTTTTCGTGTATAATGGAGTTAACGAAGAAGCTTCAAGGAAGTACGAGGAAAATGAATTTCTAAAGGGATAATATCAAAAACCTCCCCTGAGATTTCTCTTAATATCACTTAGTACCTCCAACATTTTAAAAAATACTTAGCCCCCTTACTTTTGTTATTTGTGTAACAAAATTTACAAATATTCCAAACTACCCTTTTGCTCATTTTGCTAAATAAAAATACTTCTAAGACACTTTATTTACTTAAAAATAATAACACCAACTAAAAAAAAAAAATCTCCAATAGTACCACCACATCACAAAGCTATTGTCCATCAGTATATAAATTGTAAAATAAAAAAGATATTTGTAAAGAAAACACTAGCATCAATTCAACGCTATATG